GTACTGCCCACCTTGATTCTTAAAAAATGTGTGTCCCTGTATGTGTGTGTGTGTGTGAACAACCCTCAGAAGTTGCTTGTTATTTCCCACCATCACTACAGTTTCTCCTGTTTCTAATTATGCCAACTTCCTAGTAACCCCTATGTCTCCACCCCCCCCACACACACACAGAACCAAAGGAGTGCAGGGATTACAGAGGCATATCACTACAGGGGGGGTTTTGTGTGGGTTCTTGATCCAAGTCAGGTCATCAGGTTTGTGCAGCAATCTGAGTCATCCTCCTGGCTCCATGACTTGTTTGAGGCAGGGTCTTCCACTGACCTGGACCTTACCAAGTGGGCCAGCAAGCCCCAGGGTCCGCCTTTCTCCATCACGACCACCCTGGCTATTTTTATTATCAGTTCTGGAGATCTCACCCAGACCCACATGCTTGGCAAGATAAGCACTTTACTGAGAACTCTTCCCATCCTCTGTATGTCTTTTACCCTGCCAACCAGCATTGGTTTTAGAATAAGACTTGTGGCCCCAAGTGAAAAACACAGCTGTCTGCTATTTAAATTAACATAATGCAGAGGACTCCGGACTAAGCAGAAAGACAGCTAACCTTTATTTTAGATTTGGGTTAACACTGAACCAATTTTAAGGATGTGAAAAGGATAAAATGGAATCCTGTAAAGGTAATTTTAAAAATGAGATTCATTAAGTGATTTGGAGAATGGTTCTTACTTGAAACAGGATTGGATTCTGACTACCTAGAATTCAGAGTCTTCAGACATGAATTCACCAACAGGAAACAATTCCAGAAGCACACACACACTGTGAGTATTTTATATGTATTTTGAGATCGGTCTCGCTCTCCAGGGCTGGCCATAAATCCACTTTGTAGCCATGCACAGCTTTGAGCTCCCAATCCTCCTGCCTCCACCCTGAGTGCTGGGATTCCAGGTATGCATCACTTCATGTGGGTTATGCAGGCTGGGAATGGAACCCAGGGCTTCCTGTGTGCCAACTGAGATGGGGCCCCCTGCCCCATGATTTAATAATGACAGACGAAAGAATCAGATGTTATCTTTACACCGGAGTATCTCCTTGCCTTTCTTTTTTATTTTAACCATTTATATTTACTTAGGAAAGTAAGATTGTTTAAGGAAGCAGCACCCAGTTTTAGAGTAATTTATATGTGGGAAAAAAATACAAAATTACTTGATACATCTTTAATACACAAATATATATACAAACATTTTATTCTAATAATATTCTTTACCACTTCAATTTAAACCATTCCATTATGAAAATTTAATTGAAGAGAGAATATTCCTTTAAAACTCTAAATTAAACAGAGCTTTCTTAACTAATTTGTAGTCGCACAGCCTTTAGAAATATGTGATTTTCCAGTTTACAATTCTTCCCCTGTATAACTGTTAGGGCTTGTCACATTTTTAAAGATACAAGGCACCAAACACCAGGGAGAGATCACACAGTGAGTGCACTTGGACCAGATCTTTGCTCAAACACTTGTCCTCTGCATGAACACACTTGTTCCATTAACATTTCTTCTGTGTGGTTATTTTGCAATCTACAAAACTTGAAAAATAGAATCTGCACCCACTACAGGCAATGCCTGTCAGAACGCTCATCTGCTCATGTAGGTGATTTCTCGTGACTCAGTCTGAAGGAGCATGTTTAAGAGTTCCCTGGAAAGACTTTGTTCCTTGATTGGTTTCAGTGATTTCATGAACTGAACTGGTACATAAGGCAGTTTGGTCCTTTGGAGCAACTGGACTGCACACAACCTACATGGAACATCCTTCATTTTGAAAATGAAGAAAGCAGGCATGAGGAAAATGTATTTAGAGTTTCAAAGAACTGAAACTGGTGTTTAGACTAGGCACTGAAACACCTCTACAAAGAACCTGCCTGATTGTCTCTTCGCTGTAGAATGTCCCATTACTCTAAAAACAAAAGGATACAGAAAATGGTTACTCATCATTTACATCATTCTACTTTTCTGCAGCAGAGTCTGAGAAGCAAATTATCTTAATGCTGAAATACCCACCATACACAATACATGTATTTAGTAACGAGATACTTGATCTGGAGAAGAATAGGCAGGGCTACCAGACAACGAGAAGGCCAGGGAGAGGAAGGCCAGAAGAGATGCTATGATGCCAGAGGAGTAACATGCTGGATTATGGGTAAGCCACAGCCTCGTGGCAATACATAGATTAATAGAAATTAATCTTAAAATTAAGACAGAGCTAGCTAATAAAAAGCTTGAGCAATTGGCCAAACATTTTATACTGAATATATAAGTCTTTGTGTGTTTATTTGAGGCAAAATAGCTGTGGGACCAGGCAGACCAAAAACCTCCATCTTAAATGGTGCCCAACATGGGGCTTGAACCCACAACCCTGGGATTAAAGTCCCATACTCTACCAACTGAGCCCTCTAGCTCTGGCTTTTCTAACCACTGAAACACAGCCTGGAGGGATGGGGTGAGGTTGGACGTGAGGAACACTCCACAGAAAAATAACCCATAAAAAATATGATGGCATAAAGACACTCTAAATAGCCACCTTCACAGTTGCCTGCACATTAAATATTTTACTTCTATCCGTGTGTCTGTCTGTGGGTGTGTACACATGAATGTGGTGCCTGAAGAGGTCAGAAAGGACAGGGGGTCCCCTGCAGTTGGGGTTAGAGGCAGTTGTGAGCTGCCTGATATGTGTGTGAGGAGCCAAGCTCAGCTCCTATACAAGAGCCCAAGCACTGAGCCATCTCTCCAGCCCCATTATTTTTAATCTGAAAATGGCATACCTGTCCCACAAGCCTCCCTTAAAAGACAGCAGGCCATGAAGGCCATTTTGCTAAGAAGGAATAAGCCACATGAACAAAGAGAACAAACAATCAAGTCTTGGATGGCCTGAAGAAGGACAACTAAGTGTTCCCGTCAGAAAGGGTGAGGAAGGGATGGAAAGCAGGGCTCTAGCACATATCGCATAGAAGGCCAGTTACGCAGTCAGAGGGCTCCCCTGTTTTACATGAAAGGAAAACTTCAACGTTTGTTCTCTAGACACTGTAGCAAGAGAAGTACTAGAGAAAATATCAGGAACATTTTTAATGAGGTGGCCAGCTCTTACTTAGGCATAAAAATACTAACACAGTATATAGAGCTCTCCAAAGTTATGTAGCAACTATACAGAGGTAGTGAGAAATGTGTTTGTTCTGTTGTTTTTTGTTTGTTTTGTTTTTAAGACATAGCCCAGGATGGCCTCAAACTCACTATGTGGAGGAGAATGACCTTGATCTCCACTCCCCAAATGCTGGGTTTACATCATGTGTCACCATGTCCCACCAGATAATGGAGAGGCCAGAATGACATGGAATTGGGAGGCAAGAATGTGGTGTGGGAGTAGAGATCCTCATCTATCTCAATGAAAATGTCTGTCACCTGGAGATGCCTAAAGCTGGACAGACAAGCAACAGAGCATAATCTGTAAAGAGACAGGCAAGTCCAAGAGAATCAGCTACGATTGGGGATTACAAGAGAGTTAACAACATTTGCCTCCACCCCTTCCTAAGGAACTATGGGAAGTTAATGGCTGCTGAGGAAAGGAGAGACGTGTTGTAGCCACCGGCAGGTTGCTCATGCTCTTATAAAAAATAACCCCTCACACATGTTCTTGTAAGGAAACTGAAGTTCTCTCTCTCTCTCTCTCTCTCTCTCTCTCTCTCTCTCTCTCTCTCTCACACACACACACACACACACACACACACACACACACACACACTCACAGTGAGGAGGACGAAGAAGAGATGTGAGACACTCTAAATACTTTAGAAAATATTTTTCTGAAGTTTATCATTGAGTAAAATTATTTAGATGAATAAAAACGATGGAGTAAAGGACTGGAGAGATGACTCGGCTAGAACAGTGTTTGCTGCACAAGCATGAGGACCTGACTTTACATCCCATAACCCACATAAACAGGCAGGCACAGCAGCACATGCCTGTGATCCCTGGGCTGGGAGCTGGAGAAGAGAGGGTTCCTGGGATTTGCTGGCCAGACACTCTAGCTGAACCAGTGAGCTTCAGGTTCATTGAGGGACTGCTGGGAGTAATAAAGGCCGGGAATGGAGGTCAACCTCTGGCCAGAGGCCATACATGAACACATGCACGCACATGGAGACATACACACACACACACACACACACACACACACACACACACACACACACACACAGAGTGACAGAGAGAGAAAGAGTTAAAACTCACTGGCCATCTAATATGAGGAAGGCACTATTGTGACACTTTGAACTCAATACCTGTAATATCATTCTGGCACAATGCCACTTCCCAAACAAGGAAACAGGTTCAAAGAGGCCAGGAAACTCCCAAAGTGTCACAGATCCAGCTGTGAAAGAACCTGGAGACCTGGAACCCAAGTGGTTTGACTCCAGGGACTATAGCACTTTGGGCCATCTCAAAAAAACTCATTCTAGAAAATCTCCTGCAGGAGCAGGATGTAGTGTTGCACACCTTTAGTGCCAACGCCAACACTCTGGAAATAAGAGGCAGGTGGGAATCTCTGTGAGTTTGGGTTAGTCTGGTCCACATAGCAAGCTCCAGCCTAGCCAGGGCTACATAGAGGATCTTGTCTCAAAAAAGAAAGATGGGTGGATGGAAGAAGGAAGTAATGAGGGAGAGAGGGAGGGATGAAGGAGAGAGGGAAGGAAGGGATGGAGGGAAGGAAAGGATGGAGGGAAGGGAAGAGGGCAGGGAGAGGGAGGGAAAGAGAAAAGGAGGGAGAGAAGGAGGGAGGGAGGGCAGGAGCGGGGAGGGAGAAAGGGAGGAAGGAAGGAAGGAAGGAAGGGAGGAAGGGAGGGAGGGAGGGAGGGAGGGAGGGAGGGAGGGAGGGAGGGAGCAAGGAAGGAGGAAGGCCAACCTGCCACTTTTGAGTATTCTCAAGAATAAGAACACCATGAAACACTAGTTCTGGTGCAATACACACCTGGACTACAGACGACAGCAGCTAAGTAGCTCCATCCTCCTGCGAAACGCTGTGCATAGGAATGAGGCTCTCACACTGTTCACTGTCTTCTGAAACTCTAAAGAAAGGGCAACAGTTAAGAAAGCTATCGAACTAAAAAAGAAACCTCAGAAATGGCCTGCTACCCTGTCTGAAGCTGGGAGGTCAAAATACAGTTAGTGGCAAAAGCAGCAATTTCCTCGTGTTTTTGAAGTGCACTACAAAAAGCTCTCCTAAAACGAAACAGAAAAGAACATGTAAGCCAGTACTGACATAGTCTATTATCAGCTGCACCCAAACCAAAGCTTTCTATATTTAAATCAATTACAGACCACCTGGGAACCAAACTATTTGCTTCCTAATAATTAGCAGTGGGGAAATTATCTCATCATCCAAAGGATCCAAACACATCTTTTTCCTTATACAACACAAATTACAGAATTCACACTTTCAACAACTACTATCAAAACCCTTAAAAGCCAGGCCACTGTGGTGATTCTCAGTTTGCTCAGCCTACCCATCACTGCTGTTTTGTCTGTTGAAACAGGGTCTGCCCCTGTAGCCCAAGCTGGCCCCAATCTCAGAAAGCTACTGGTCCTCCGGAGACAGAGGTGAGAGGGTCAGGAGTTCAGGGCCAGCTAGGGTCGCATGGTAAGACTGGATCTCAAAAACAAAAACAAGGGCTGGGAGATGGCTTGATTGCCTCGCAAGTGTAAGACGTAAATTCACCACCCAAACCCTTGTAGCCAGGCAAGACAGAAGCATCTGTATGTAATCCCAGGGGTGGAGACAAGGAGGGTCCCTGGGGCTCACTGCTGGCCAGCATAGTCAAACTGGTCCATGCCTTCTGTATGTATGTTTCTCTTACTGAGAAATAATAAAATGAATAAAAACACTGATTGCTCAGTAGAGGCAGGGACTAGAACACGAGGAGAATGCTGGGGAGAGAGGCAGAGAGAGAACTCGAAGAGACAACATGTAGAGGCAGGGAAGATAGGACATGCCAGACATTCTCTGGTAAGATAAGGCCATGTAGAAATACTAGATTAGTAGTTATGGGTTAGTAGTTAAGACAGAGCTAGCCATCAGCCAAGAGTTTTATAATCAGTCTGTCTCTGTGTGCTTATTTAGGGCTGAAGGGCAGGACCTAGCAGGGCAGAAACCTCCATCTTCAGGTCCAGGCTACCCCAACTAACACACTAGTGAAACACTCAAAAACTAAGGTGTTGCTTAGGGAACACATTTGACACATGAATGAATGAATGAATGGATGTACACACACAAGCTTGAAAAAAAACTTTGTGACAAAACATACCTCTGAATTCGATGTTTTCTGCATATAAAGGCAAAAATTCTTCTGACTCCTACCATCACAGGATCCCAATTATTATAATGGCATAGGAGAGTAACAATAAAAAATGAAAAAAACACAGGGATAGCGCCTGCAAAAAATAACCAAGAAAACTGCACCTAAAACAAAAGATTAAAATAAAACCTCAAAATTATCATCAAGGCAATTTTTACCTTTAAGACATTAAAATACCAAGAAGACAGGTTAAACACTGATAATATTATTATATAAAAGGATCTGGGACTTCAATTTACAATTCTACTTGCCTAAATAACTAGGAGAAATACTTACTGCTCTAAAAGAATGGACAAAAGAAAAGCAGCAAAGGTATGTCAATGTTTACTAGGTGCAGTGCTCAGAGTGGGATGTCCAGAGTGGGTGTCTGTCTCCAGCATCATGGTGCCCATGGTCTCTCCCTGCCCACAAGTGGATGTTTCTTCCTCAATTTCCAACACTATCTTCAAAATTTCAGATTTGAAAATCAATGTGGTGTTACAGCTATGTTAACAGCTATATCACAGTTCTGAGTGTTAAAACCAAGTGAAACCCTTACAACTTTTGCAAGCCTTCTATCAATAATTCATAACAAGTTCTATTTATAATTTTAGTCCTTTTTTGTTTTGTTTTGTTTTTTGTCTGTTTGTTTAGACAGGGTTTCTCTGTGTAATAGCTGTGGCTGTCCTGGAGCTCGCTTTGTAGACCAGGCTGGCCTCAAACTCACAGAGATTCACCTGTCTCTGCCTACCAAGTACTGGGGTTAAAGGCATACACTCCCCCACCTTCCCCCCCCCCCCCAGCTATTACTTACAATCTTAAAGGTTTATTTACTTATTTTGGTCATGTGTATGTGTATCTCTGCTGGTGTCAGCAGGGGCTGGAAAGGGGCATTTGATGCTCTGCAGCTGGGGTCATGGGTGGGTAACTGTGAGTTGTCTGACATGGATGCTGGAATTTGAACTCAAATCCTCAGGAAGAGAAACAAGGCTCTTCACCTCTAGCCCCACAAATTCAAATTATAACACCCAAAACTGGTTCGTTCCCCATCAAAATACCTATGAGAATAGATAGCTCAGAGAGATAGCTCAGTAGGAAAAGGCACTTGCAGCCAAGCCTGGGAGCATGAGTCACTCCCTGGTACCCACGCAGTGGGAGGAGAAAACTGACTCCTGGGGGTCTTCTCTGACCTCCACACATACACCAGAATTAACTCTGACCAAGTGAACAACAGCAGGCAAGAAGCCAGACTTCAGCACAAAAGAGCCCTCTGATGCAACCATTATGATCCTCACATCCATCATTGACCAAGGTCCTCAAGAAACTCAAGATAATGAAATGCCATAAAGCTTAAAAGGTCATCCTTGGTGTTTAGAAGTTACCTTTAGTGTCTAGATGGAACTGAAGTATCCAAAACCATTTTCTAAGCAGGCTGCACTGACTACTGAGGGTGATGAGGGACACAGTGGTTAACAAAAGGAAATAGCCACTCCTGTCCGCTAAATACGGAAAAAGTGTTTGCCCTCTTCTGAGAGAAATAAGGGACAAAAGAGAAGGCTCAATAAAGTGCTTGATTGCATAAGCATGAAAAATTAGATTTGATCCACAGAATCCTGATTTAAAAAAAAAAAAAAAAAAAAACTGGGGCAAAGTGGCACACATTGAAATCCTAGGACATGTACATAAGGTAGAGACAGAAGGATCTCTGAGCCCACTGGCCAGCCAGCCTACTTAGAAAGCCTCAGGGTCCAGGGAGAGACACTGTCTCAAAAATAGATAGATAGTACCTTAGGAACAACACCCAGTGCTGTCCTCTGGCCTCTGCATTCACACATGGGCCCATATGCACTCATTCAAACACACACATTCATAAAAACAAAAGGAAAAAAGGAGAGTTTTCATAGGCAAAAACTCCCTCTGCTGGAAAGCACACGCTGGCCCATTTAACACCATTAAAACAGAAAAGTTTCATGAGAATGATGTATTTGGTGAAGACTTTGGGAGAAAACAAAATAATCCTCCAACACATGAGCTGATTTGCACACTCAGTGACCCACAGAACACCCAGGAATTGAGTCCTCATTAAGAGATACTGAGAAGTCCACAGTTAAAGTATTCTGTCAAAGTATTGACAAAATGTAACAATATTTAGAATTACCTCCAGAACATCTAATAATCTATAAATGTCAGCACAGAATTACTTTGTAAAAATTTACTTATTTATGTGTATATGTGTGTGCCTGAGTGCATGTATGTGCACTACACATGTACAGGTGCTAGCAGAGGGCAGAAAGGGTGTTGGATTCCCTGCAACTGGAGTTACAGGCAGCCTGATGGGAACTGAACCCAAGTGCTCAGTAAGACCAGTAAGTGCTCTTAACCACTGATCCATCTCCTATCCCTAGAGTACCATTTTAAATAAAGAATCTATGCATCACTGAGAGTATTTTGCCTTTGTCCACAAGGTACACAAAGACCTAAATAAAAATAGCACTAAAAATTAAGGCTACTAGAACACCTGCAGGTTTCAAACATTTTCAAATTGTATTAAGTCAACACACTATGATTATTTATGTCTTAAAATATTCAAATTCCAAGTGTAGAGTAAGTGACTGTCTTCCTCCCACAGCCTTAGGCAGGTGCATACTCCTTTCCTCTGTCATCCTTAGAAGCACTAAAGAAACTTTCCCCACAGGGCAAGGTAGCACACGCCTTTAATTCCAGCACTTGGGAGGCAGAGCCCTGTGAGTTCAAGGCCAGCTTGATCAATGTAGTGTGTTTCAGATCAGCTAGGGTAACACCATGAGACCCCATCTCAAGGAAAGAGAGAGAGAAGGAAGGTAGGAAGGAAGGAAGGAAAAGGAAAGAATGAAGGAAGGAAGGAAGGAAGGAAGGAAGGAAGGAAGGAAGGAAGGAATTTCTAGCTCATGTCTCTAGGCAAAGATGCTCCAGAGTGTTACTTCTGCACCATAGTTTATAAGCAGCATCCCTGCGTCCAGACTGGGACATCACATAAGAGGGCAGGGACATGCCGGCTAAGTGTGATGCAGATGAGCCTCCTCCAGGGCACCACATCATTCTCCTGGAGCTCACTTCCACAGCAGTGCAGCACACTGTTAAGACCCATTGGAGCTGACCCGAGCAACCAGGTTACCCCTACTAGATACTACAGCAATCTCCTACTGCACACAATGGAACCACACCAAAGACACGAGGAACAAAGCAGCTACTCAAACACTACAAGCCCCATATAAAGCTGTTTCCCTTACCTGAAAACTAATGGGAAAATATTGAAAGACCAAAATTAAGACTATCTATTTCTTTTGTATTTTATGTTATTTATCTATTTAGTGTGTGTACAATCGTATGGGTGTATGTATGTACATATGCTATGCCCATGACTGTGGAGGTCAGAGGTCAACCTTGGCTCTTATGGTGGTTTGAATGGGTATAGTTGCCACAGACTCATGTGTCTGAATGCTTGGCCTATAGGGAATGGCACTATTCAGAGGTGTGGCCTTGTTAAGAGTAGGTGTGGCCTTATTGGAGGAAATGTGTCACTGTAGGGGTGGGCTTTGAGGTCCCAGATGCTCAAGCTATGCCAGTGTGGGACACAGTTGCTTTTGCTGCCTGTGTATCAAGATGTACAACTCTCAGCTCCTTCTCCAGCAGTATGTCTCCCTGCACTCCATCATGAAGATAATGGACTAAACCTCTCAATTAACTGTTTCCCTTTATAAGAGTTGCTGTGGTCGTGGTATGCCTTCCCAGCAATAGAAACCCCAGAAGACAGCTAGCTGTCTTTCCTTAGGTGATGTTTTTTGAAACAGAATCACTCGATGGCTTAGGACTCCCTTTGTGAGCTAGGCTGGTTGGTCAGTGAGCCCCAGAGTTCCTTCTCTCTCCACCTCCCCAGCACTGGGGTTACATGCATGCAACACTACTTCTGACTTTTATTAAACCTAAATTCTGGGGATCGAGCTCCATCCTCAAGTTTGTAGAATCATTCTACTGATTGAGCCTTAGCCCCTACCATTTATGTTTCTGTGTAGTGGGCTCCCTTCTAGAAGGAGAAGCATTAAGTATTATGCATATCTGCCTCCCTTATTATTTAAACATACCCCTCAACTATCATTGGGTCTGCTTTAGTGATGTTCCTAGAGTATCTCATGAAGAACCTGGCTTACCTTTTGCATGCACATGTCGGCTATGATGGAGAGAGGTATTGTAAGGCTTAGTGCAAGTGTGCCTATCAATGATGAGGTAAGAAAGCAGCCCCTGAAAAGAAGAAAGGAAACATAAAACATAACTTCTACATTAAAAACATTTTTTAAAAATGCCACTAAACAAATTGAACCAAGATTTCCTATCCTATAATACGTGCCTGAGAGATCCCAAGCAAAGATGAAAGCTGAGTATGGACAGAAACACAAAAAATAATAGTTACTAATATGATTCCAAAGTTTGCCCTTGAATATTAAAAATACAAACATGGAATTATACTGTTCCTGGGTGCTTTAAACTATTTTTGAGATCTGCTTGCATATACTATTCAACTTTGAAAATATAAACACATACACACACAGGCATATATATATTAATTATATTTCATTAATTTAAAATTCAGAGCAGAATTTTTAGTCTTTGATACCTAACAGAACCACATATTACTTTTCTTTAGATTTGACACACTAATTTTTAAATCATCTATATGAATACATATATACATATATATGAATGGGTCTATACATGTGAATACAGTGTCCTTGGGGATCAGAAGTGGTGTGAATCCTCTGGAGCTGCAGTTACAGACAGTGGTAAGCTTCCCAATGTGGGTGCTGGGAACTGAATTCAGGTCTTTTGCTAGACCAGCATGCACTCTTAAACAAAGAGATATCTCTCTACCCACCCCCCACAACAGCATTAGTAAAACTGAAATCACACACAAACTTGAAGAAACCGACAAGCTGGTGCCACAAGGCCCAGCTCTTTGAAAACTTCAATCTGATTGAAACTGTACTAAGACTATAATGGAAGTCTCACTAACTCCATATGAACACTGTATTCAAACTTACATTAAACTTACTGTCATTAAATGAAAACAGTCTAACATATTTTAGTATGCTAGCATCCCAAGAATCTATTCATAATTTTCACATATAATACATCCATCTGTAAAGTTCTGAATATAAACATAACAACAAGAAAGCCTGTGAACAACCAAACACTCCCAAGCTCCCTAAGTAAGCAGCATCAAGTGTCCCATTTCATGCAAATATATGATGTCCATGAGATCATGGCTACTTCCATTTGTATAACACTAGTCTTTATGTGTTCATATATTCATGATCATGTGTGTGCATGTGCTCTCAGGTGTAGGTACACGTGTGCATGTATAGGCCAGAGGTCAACATTCAGGGTCTGCTTCACTCTTCACCTTCTCTGATTTTTGAGACTAGTTCTGCCACTGAACCTAGGTCACCGATTCAGCTGGACTAGTGGGCAAGTGAGTTCCATAGCTCTTCCTCTCTCTGCTCCCAAGTCAGTGTTAGAGATGTATTCCATCCTGCCTAGATATCCAAACTCAGATCCTCATGTTTGCGTAGCAAGAACTTTATCTACTGAGCCATCATCCCAGACCCCAACACTATACTTTAAAGACGTATTTTATTTATTGATAATTTCACACATGTAAATCAACACCTTGAAAGCACTTTTACAAACTTAAAACAGTTTGTATTGTCCTTAACACAGCCTAGAGCAGCGGTTCTCAACCTTCATAGGACTGCAGGTCTTTAAAACAGTTGCTCCTGTTGTGGTGACCCCCAACCATAAAATTATTTCATTGCTATTTCATAACTGTAATTTTGTTCCTGTTATGTATCATAATGTAAATATCTGATATTTGGGATATCTGATATGTAACCCGTGTGAAAGGATGGTTCAGACCCCAAAGGGATCGCAATGCACAGCCTGAGAACCACTGACTTAGAGTCGTCTGAGGAGGTCTCAACTGAGGGATTGGTTGGCCTGTGTCATGTCTTAACTGATGATTAATATGGGCAGGGCTGCCTGGCTTCCCTCAGTGATGGCCTGACATCTGGAAGTGTAAGCCTCCCCTCCCCTAAGTCACTTTTGGTCACAGCAGCAGGAAGGAAACCAGAAGAGTATTAATTCACAGTCTATATTCACTCATTTATTAAACAAACACTTTTGAGCTTCTTTCTATGTATCTTCATTGTGAAGGGCCCACAAAAGTTAAAACCAAAGCCTCTGCTCTTTCAGAATAAGTGTATTCAATTACAAGTACCTATGTGAAAGGGAAGTACACAGAAGGGACCTTCAGAACTCAGAAGACACAGAAATGTCCAAACTACTCCTAAGTTAACAAACTGACAAGAAATGAACTGCTGGAAAAGAACAGAACCTACCACAACCACAGAAACTCAGAGAGAACTGTTCCGATGAGGCCGTTGATAAGGATACACAGAAGTACCACTTTATTGGGAAACTCGAAGTCCTCAAAGCCAGTATAATGAAGTAAAAAGAACCCCGGCCATAAGAGCAGCAGATTAAACAGACCTACAAAACCTGAGTATAAAAGAGACACAGGTTAAAGTCATGGCTGACTTCAAGTTTCCAACCCTGGCAACACATTAGAAACGTGCGATCTCACAGAGGGCTTCAGTGGGTTGCTCAACTGGAACTCCAGTCCAGGTGCCTGCTGACTGCGGTTTGGATGGGCCAGTCAGTCAGTAAGGTGCTTGATGCTCAAATATGAGTGCATCCTCAGCACACAGCTGGTACACACGTGTGCTCTCAGCTCTGGGGACAGGCAGACACGGCTCTCTAGAACCCAGTGGCCTGTTAGTGTTGGTGAATTGTGAGGCCCAGAAGGTTCAACAAGAGACCTTGGAATCCATAATATTTCCAAGAAAATAAAAATAAATAAATAAAAATCATACAGAAGAGGGAAAGGGTCTCCATATCTCTTTAAAAACAAAAATCTGTGCTGGGCAATGGTGGCACGTGTCTTTAATCCCAGCACCAAAGCAGAGACAGGTGGATCTCAGTGAGTTTGAGGCCAGCCTGGTCTATGGTGTGAGTTCCAGGGCAGTCAGGACTGTTACACAGAGAAACCCTGTCTCCAAAAACCATTTAAAAAAAAAAAAACCCTATGGATTTATAATTTCAAGTAAATAGCCTAAAGGGCTAAACATATACTTGCCAAAGAACATTGGAATATCCAATTTATCTTCTCTGTCTACCTTTCTCTTGATCATCACAATGTAGACAGCATAGAGCATTGCTCCAGCAAGGGACCAAATGGAACCTGTAAAAACAAACACATGATTTAAACTCCAGGATCCCTTCATGAACTCATTCAATATATATTACTACATATAGTTAGAGTCTAATAAGACACTGAATACTAAATGAAGAAATGAGAATGTAAAAATGAAAACAAAACTAACTCATCCCACCCAGATCCTCCTTTAGGACAGAAAGGAACTGAATGGATGAATAAATATGTGCAAAAGCATTGGCCTTGGTAACCTAACTGAACACCCACACAGATTCTAACAATGGAAGTCAGAAAATAACATTTTGTCTTTAATTTTGAAACATGCTCTTACTTTCCTCTACATCAGTGGTTCTCATTCTTCCTAACTCTGTCCATTAATAAATACAGTTCTTCATATTGTGATGTCCCCAACCATAAAATTATTATTTTTGTGACTTTCCAGCTATAATTTTGCTACTGATACAGTCATAATAACTGTGTTTTGTGATGCTCTTAGGTAACTCCTGTGAAAGGGTCATTTGACTCCCAAAGGGGTTGCAACCTACAAACTGAGAACCACTGCTTTACATGAACCATTCAGACATAGGCTGTTGTACAATGTAACAAATGCTTCTCTTCCATCTCTAAGCCATTCTTGATCTTGCTCTTCCCATCACTCTATATGGATTTCCAGACACTCTACCACCACATCCATAAGGTCACACCTCTTCCACACAGCATCCTTTCTACTCTGCTAAATTTCCATCGATTTGTCTTCTGTTTTAGACAATGGAACATTTACTAACGTTAATTGTGGTATTATGGGTTGGGGAGATGGCCCAATGGGCAAAGCACTTGCCACACAAGTATGAGAACATGAGTTTGAATCCCCGTGACCCACATCAAGTCAGACACAGAAGTGCATGCATCTGTAATCCCAGAACTCTGCAATGAGATGAGAGGCAGAGAAAAGAAAGTCCCAGGAAGTTTACAAGCCAGCAGCAAGGCATATACAGTGACAAATAACAAAAGACCCCATCTCAAGCAAGGTGGAAATCAAGGACCAACACCTGAGGTTGTCCTCTAACCTCCACACAAACATTGTGTCACACATGTACCTATGCTCACACACTCACTTGTACATATGCACACATCATATATTCACACAAACTTTAAAAATGTGGCATTAATTTATTCTCTGCTGGCTTTGTTTTGTAATTCCCATATCTTATTTTAAACCAAGAACTGAAAATTACAAACACAAAATGTTTGCTTATAATTGGTTGAAATATGCAATACTCTGTGAAGCTCACAGTTCATGAATAATTACTGTCTTCATTAACTCATGTTCAAACAACCCTTAATTAAGCCTTCAAAAAATAATTACCGATGTGCCAAGTGACCACTCAATACTTTAATCTAGTCAAAAGAACAATATTTATTAAGCCTACCTATTTATTATTATCAAAACAAATTTAAAGCCTATCAACAAAATCTTACACTCACAAAACAAGTATATATTATATTTTTTGTTGTTTGTTTATTTGTTTGTCTTTTTTGTTTGATTTTTGGTTTTTCAAGACAGGGTTTCTCTGTAGAGTCCTGGCCATCCTGGAACTCACTCTGTAGACCTGGCTGGTCTTGAAATCATAGATCCTCCTGCCTCTGCCTCTCAAGTGCTGGGACTAAAGGCGTGCGCCACCATGCCTGCTACGTTAGGTTTTATGTATACAGAGTAGTTCTGGGTCAGAAAGGGTATATGTAGCTCAAAGCACCGCTGACTGGGTAGGAACCAGGAAGAGGTTGGAGAGCACTGCCCTGTCCTAGGTACTTCACATATACAGAGAAATGAACTAAGTTGGGCTCTGGCCACCTTTGTTTTTGCTAAATAAAGGCTGTAGATCAAAATTAAATGTTTACTCTAACAGTAACTGCTAAGGCAAAGAAACGGACTAGATGAGAAAACTAGGGGCTGAGAGTACAACAGGATAGTTCTATAACTTCACAGTATCTCCCCACAGGATGCTTGCTACTTCAACAACTAGTCACCTCACCCTAGAGCACCCTGACAGACACTACATCACTAGCAAAAGGTTAAAGCGATGCCATGGGTCTTCAGCACCAATCAGATAAGGAAATATTACTGGCATGGTATTACTACCAATCTGTACATCAATTTAACTAGAAAGAGTTCTAGACAAACCCCCGACTCAAACGGAGATGCACTGTACAAGACAGATAAGCTGTGCCCTTCTTAAGTGTCAGATTCATAAAAGACAAGTAAGACTGCATTAAGGCTCCTGTTGAGGGGACATTAGGGGAACAAGACAACTAAATGCAAATCAGTAAAAGATCTCAGGTCTCGGGCCACTAAAAGAGCCCTGTGGGAGGATGGCTGTATTAGAGATGGGGCTATAGCCCATACTACCAAAATTAAGTGTTCACTGTAGCAGTAACTGCTCATAAAGGTACAAATGTGGATGAGAAAATGAGTAGGCAATAGTAATTCCTATTAATTAATTCTTATAATTGCTTTGTAGTTATGTAAGTTAATATCTGAAGAATTTGGGTGAAGGTCATATAACCCTCCCCCCCCCCCCGTTTCATATCCCTTCCAAAGGAAAAGTTAAATTAACAGACAAATTTTTAAGACCCTGTGACTGGGTCAGCAAGATCTTAGCTAAGAGGTGCTTGCTGTTTCCAAACCTAGACACCTGAGTTCAATTCCAGGGACCCACATGGAAAGGAAAGAGTTGATTCTTACAGGTTATCCTCTGACTTCCACACATGAACTGTGTCACGTGCACACCCACACACATGTGTGCACATGTGTGTGCATGCAATGCAGTAAGCACATAGCTTGCTCAAATGCCCCAGAAGAGCAGTCACATACTTACCTATTGTGTCTCTTCTAGCAGACTTTTCAGACCCCGACAGGTTCACCAGCACCACACCTCCAATGCTGTGAGAGTAACACCCATTACTGATGAGCAAAAGAGCCTCCTAAAAGACTAATCATCTAATAAGAACTAAGAACTCATGCTAACTTTGGGTAAAACTGTCGGAGAATCCAGTGACTTTACTGATAAGTGCTGTGGGCTCCTCAGCACAGTACTACACTGACAGTGAACCCTCACAAATGCACACTGAGGACTTATAAGGAAGGGACTCATGAAGAGGCGAAGCAACCTGACCAAGACCCAGTGCCAGGGCTGGAACACAGGCAGTCTGTCCCCAAAGCCCAATATGCTTACATGCTACTGTCTTTTCATTACATAAAGGACAACTTGCCATCCTTTCGCTGAGCCTCCTCTCAAAGGCAGAAATAAAGCAAATGCACATAAAGCTAGAAATAGCACTTTTCTTGCAAGTGAAGCCTAAGTAAACAGAAAGGCTGTCCTTTCACATGCGATGAGCCCCATCAACCCCAGGACTTTAGTGGGCCAATAGAAGACAACTGAAGGCTGCTGAAAAGTCAGCGGACATTGACTCAGTTGACTGCCACTTGCTGAGCATCTAGAACGAGCAAAGCAGTGTGTTCCAGTGGGGAGGGAACAAGATGGGCATGGTTCTGGTAGCCGAAGAGCTTGCACAGCCTTTCTGCTTCTGGCTAGCTTATTAGTTGTGTCTATTTTTGCAAACAAACAGAAGTGCTGGAAATTTAAAAGATGGCCCAATTCTCTTGCCTACTGATCAAAGTCTCAGGCACATTTGGGGAGTAGTATAGAGAAAGAATGTGTTTTCCCTTATGGAACAATGAGATTAGAAGCTAAACAGAATACTCCTTACACTGGATCATCCTCCTCTCTAGTGGCAGTGTCAGGTTTCCTGCTATGATCATTGTTTGGATTAGAGTCAGCTGTTGTTTACCAAGTTCCCACAATATAATAGAAACCATTTCATTTCCATCCAGAGGATGATGCCATGGCGCTGCCTAAATATACTGAGCACACGTTGTTCCTTGAAACAGTTTAGAAGTTTGACCTCATCCATCCGCATGACTGTCCTATGAGACAAATTCTACTGTGATCTTCAGTTTACAGAACAGGAAACAGGCAAAGAGATTTCAAAATAATATGCAAGTTCTCAAAACTTGTAATGGAGTTGGGACTTGATCACAGACAGCAGAATGTGATTTCTGAACTCATTAGATTTCCTTCAAGGCTATAGTTATATCAAATTCTATGCCACAAAAATTCAATCTCATTGTTTAAGGCCAATTCAAAACAAAGTGAGAATTAAGTAGTGTTCAGTAGATATTCTTAAGAGTAAAATTACACAAAAAAATTAAAATCAATTATCCTAAACTACAGTGTTTTTGTTTTTTTTTTTTTTTTTTTTAGGAAAGAAAATAACTACTTTAGACTCATGGCCATGTGGTTTCTCTGACAATTCTGCTGCCCCACAACAGCCACAGATGATAAGCAAATGAATGAAAATGACTGTTTCAATAAAGCTTAATTTGTAAAAACTGGCAGGCAGCTGATCTTAGTTTCCTAATCCTCAGTCTTAACCTACTTTAACCAAAATATTCTGTCAAAAGTACTTGCAAGTTCAATATTTTATATCCATTCCCTCTTCTATCAAATCTTTCTTTATTACATGGGACTAAGAAAAGTTTTAAAAATCAGCATATATTTTAGGTAAAGTTTAATAAAAACCTCATTTACTTCCTCAATACAAACGTATTATATTTCCAAAAAGCAAAAGCATGTTTGGTTAAATCATTGGAAGCATAAAAAAGAATATAAATCTGGAAATTATAAAGACTAGATGTAGATTAGTTGGGTCAACCAGAATGTCACTAAAAGAGCCTTGGCCAGCTTTCCCTTACGTCTAAAAGCTGTAATATAGAATATAAAAGGAATGATCAGTCTTCTACTGTTGCCAAGTGCAAGTCACTTAAATACTTGACAGACATTGCTCCACATTTTACAACAAGGTCACAAAGCAGAAAAGCTCTAGTCCTCTGGGCTAGAGCAGGGCCTAGGGGAGGCAACAGACTCTGACTTAGTCTCAGCCACTGCTGAGAGAGCCTCATCATTAAGCTCTCCTGCTACCTTCTTTGCTCTCTTTTTCCAAAAATAGCTGCGTTGTCAAACTGAAGCAGCTCCTTTGAGTGCTGTCTATGGGAAAGCCTCTGCTAGGCTCTCAGCAATACATAGAACATGAAGCAACGTTTCAGCCTTTAAAGGTGTACAGCCCAGCAGAGAAGACAAGCAACACTAGCTCACAGTTACATATGAAAGGCTGAAATGTACTTATTGACAATGGGGCTGCGGTGCCCTGAGATAAAATTGCCAGATGAATTAAACAGAAAGTAAGAGGAAAAAAAGCACTGCAGGCTAAGATTACTGGAGAAAATGCAATCTGAATTTTAGAAGAAAGGGACAAATTGAAGCCAACATAAAAAAGGGACATGTGTCCGGACAAAGAGATAGACAACTGATGACTATATTGACACATCCAAAGTGAAAGTTAGTTCAAGACTTAATAATCTTGCAGTCAGTGAGAACCAGAGGATATGAACCACACTGTCCTGGAATCCTTCCCTCCGGTTACCCTAAGCAGCGTCTTGTCCACAGGAAGCTTTCTTTTGCCTCGTTATTTGCTTATGTATTATAACAATAAATTGTTTCACCGTCATATTTTTAAAGACTATTACTTGCTTGTGTCCACACAGGTATACGAGTGCATGTTTACAAAAGTATGTGTGCTAGTGTGTGCAATGAGAGGCCAGATGAGGGCGCTGGATCTGTGAGATTTATAGGCTTTGTGGAATAGCCAGTTCAGTGAATGGGTATTTAGACCTGGTCCCCAGTCTTCATGATTATTCTAGGGAGCTCTCTTAACTCCTGAGCCATATTTCCAGATGTGGTATCATATGTCTGAGCACAGCAAACTAGCCTATGTTATACTCTTACCTTAAAATTACAGCTAACAGTTTAGAGAGGGTAAATCTGTCTCCACTGTTACTCGGAAACACAGCTGCAAGGATTAACGTAAAAAGTCCTACAGAGAGGGAGAAAAGGAGAAAAGCAGCTGTTAATTTACTTCCACCAATACCAAAGACAACGCGAGTGAATCACATACCAAACTTTTAAGCTAACTGTTTTGTTCTTTTCAAACAACTAATGCTGCATTTCCTTAAGTGGAAATGTTCAAAAGTCAGATTAAGAAGAGCTTCTAAACTAAGCCACATTTATTCTAACAGTGCAGATAAGGGTAGACCTAGTTATTTTTAAACTAATAAGCACTAAGTTGAGCCTTCAGAGTAACAGTGTGACTTCATCAGTCATGCCCACGTTCTAAGTTATTCCTACAGCTTCGAAAATACTTCTTTTATCTTCCGGATTTGGAAGGTGAGTCAATGTTAAAAATAAAACACCTACTAGAGTGCAAATTTTAGACATGAAATAAGCAGTCGTGGCATTTAGCCAAAGGCATCTAGAAAAAGATTTCTGAAAAGGAAATATGCAGTGTAAGGCTACCATAAAGGGAGGATAGGTCTAAATAACCTTCATACACGGCAGAATAAAAACCAGAGGGCCAGGTGTGGTGGTGCATGTCTTTAATTCCACCACTTGGGAGGCAGAAGCAGGGGGTTCTCAGAGTTCTAGGCCAGACTGGTGGGTCTACTGAGTAAGTACCAAAATAGCCATGGCTACACAGAGAAACCCTGTTATAAAGCAAAAGTATACAAACAAAGAAGCAAACAAACCCACAGGGGAACAAAGGGAGAGCATGTGCCTACTATACACAGACCTAGAAAAATGGTCATGCATTGCAGGATAAAAACCACAGAGGCCAAGGTATACTTCTGGAAGAGTAGGTGCCCAGCATGCTCAGTCCTGGGTTTGATCCCCAGCACTGAACAAAAATAAGAACAGCCAAACAATAACTACAAAGTACCCGAGGGGACAGACATCAATAGCACAAAGTTCAGGATATACTACATTGTAACCATGCAAACAAGACTGCATGCTGTAATGACACTGCTTGGAAGGCAGGCATAGGGAGGAGGGTCACCGCAAGTTCAAAGCCAGCCAGGCCTGGTCTATATAGTAAACTTACCAGAGCTCAATAGTAAGGGTCTCAGTAACAACCTCCCCAATATACTATAATATACTAATTTACAACAGAACTAAAAACTTAGTTTATGTCTATGTACATACAAATATCAGTAGCTATACATGCATCAATTCAGAATGCAGATCTTAAAGACACATTTCTTACCAGAAGTTGAAGACAAAATATTCACTATGGCAACCTGTGTGTCTGAAAGTGCTTCTTGATATGACAAATTTGCCAAAAACCACTAAACAAAAAGAAAAGCAAGTGAAACCTCACAAAAAAAACCATCCATATCTGCCAGTTCAGCTCACATTGTGCCCCCCCCCACTCTTCCAAGCACTATTACTGTATGAGGTTCGTTCTTAATCAAAAACTCAAATGGATATATGTGTGGGGACATGGGAACATGCATACAGTGGCAGCAGAGCCAGAAGAGGGTGTCAGATCCCTTGACCTGTAATCACAGATGGCTGTGAGACACCCAGTGTAGGTGCTGGGAACTAAATGCTAGTCCTCTGCAAGAGCAGTATGTGTTCTGAATCCTGGGTCATCTCTCCAGTCCCGACAAGTGGTTTCAAAGACTGCTCTTTGAGAGAAAAAAAAAAAAAAAAAAAAAAAAAATCACAGGCCCCCAAATAAGGACAAGCATTAATAATCATACCTAAGATAAAGCTACTCAATTCAATTTCCTGAAAACACTAATCAGTTCAAACACAGCAACACAAACCTGGACCCCCCCCCCCAGCACTCAAGGTTAAGTAGATTACAAATTCCAGAAACTGAAGTAACACAATTAATTTAAATTAAGTTGTAATAAAAAAAAAAAAAACAAATAAACTAGAACTTGTCTAGTATGCACAGAACCTGATTTCAATTTCCAGCACCGACTGGGCAGTAGTGGTACATGCCTTTAATCCCAGCACTCGGGAGGCAGAGGCAGGCAGATCTCTGTGAGTTCGAGACCAGCCTAGTCTACAACAGCTAGTTCCAGGACAGCTAGAGCTGTCACACAGAGAAACCCTGTCTGGGGGGGGGGGGGGGGTTTGAGTCGGGGGAGGAAGCATTCAGAGCTGGAGAGATGACTCAATGGTTAAAGTAGTTGCCACTCTTGCAAAGGACCTGAGTTTGGTTCCCATCACCCACAATGCATGCCTCAGGACTTCCTGTAACTCCAGCTCCAGGGGACCCGACACTCTCTTCTGTGCTCCACAGGCACACATGCACGCGCGCGCGCACACACACACTGCTCATACACACAAAGACAGCTAATTTAAAAACAAAACTCAGCGTTCAGAAATTGTGTATGCATAAAGGAGAGATACTGAGTATCAAATCTCTAATGTTTGCTTATTCATGCATTGATCATACTTTATCTAAGTCAAATTCAAATCTGGAGAAATTCTCTGACATTAAAACCTACAGGGCCTAGAAAGATGGTTTAGTGAGTGAGAGTACTTGCTGTGCAATTATTTGGCCCTGAGTTCAGATCTCACATTCATGTAAAGAAGCTAAGGATAGCCACCTATTCTTGCAATGACGGATTCAAAATTTGTTCAATTGTGTTCAAGCATGGGTGTGCGTTCTAGGATTTGGCTTCACATCTTTATTACGTGGAGTGGGCTTTGTGTATAAATATACATGTGGAAGCCAGAGGTGAACAGTCACTGTCATTTACCAGGTGCTATTCCTCACTTGTTGAGATAGGGTAGCTCACTGGCCTGAAACTCACTTGGTAAACTAAACTAGACTAGCTGGCTACTGAGCCCCAGAGACCCATGTTCCTACCCCTGGGATTACAAGAGTATAGCATCACACACACCCAGCAGTTGTACAGGGTCCTTGCAATAGAACTCAGCTCCTTGTGCTCACAAGTCAAGCACTTTACCAGCTGAACTGTCTCTGCAGCCTTCACTTCAAATGCTTTGAGGTATGATAAGTTTTTTACTCAGTTTGATATTCTAACACCCCAGTGTGCCGGACAGCCGCTGACAGAAAAAAATAAAGACCTCTAGTAGACTCATTTATCAGTACTGTATGTTGGCGTGTGCACCATTTTAAATATGTACGGAAGAAACCAGGCAGAATGGCTCAGCAGGTAAAGTACTGCCATGTAAGCCAGATGACCTGAGTTCAATCCCCAGAACATTCAAATGTGGAAGGACATAAGTGACTTCCTCAAGTTGTCCTCTGAGCCCCACACGCACTCCGTGGCAACCTGTCACCAGCACTCACACAGCACACATATACGCAACAATATTAAATCTTAAAAAAAAAAAAACTTACCACAAAGCAAAAAAAAAAGCTGATTTTTGCTACTTGGGTTGCAGTAAGTTTCCCTACAGTCTTCAGTATGCATTCTTGATCTTTCACAGTAGGATAAGACATTCGGGACAACTTGGCCTCTAATGCATGGCTCGATGGAAGCTGTCGAATCTCCATGATATTGCTGAACCTTACACGGGACTTCTTGGGAGCTAAAAGGAAGACATAATACAAAACATTAAATGTACTCTCAGATCCTACAAAAATTAAACGGTATTTAATTTACAACAAAGGCAGACTATTCTGCTCACTTGTGATCAAAGTAAGACAATAAAGACACTGAGTTATATTATTACCTGGGGCAGCTTTGCTCAATCAAAAGGGTTAATGAGAGAGAGAAGAAAAGATTTCAACTGTGAAATGGCTTAAAGAGTTTAAAATGTGGCAGGCAAGACGGTTCAGTGAGTAACACCTGCCACCAAGCCTGATGACCCCCAGAGACCCATAGTGTGGAAAGAAAGAACTGACTTTCATAAGTTGTACTCTGATCTCCACACAGGCATATAAAATAAATAAAAATGTAATTTAAAAAATGTAAAGCGTAAAATGATTAAAATTCCAAAAGAAGGTTTATTGTTGTATATATATATATATATACAACTACCTGGTTCAGGATTTTACTATGCTTATTATTTTAGCATTTATGGCAAAACATGATTTTGATTATTCTTCATGGCTCGATAATTGGGAACTACCTTCCTAGGCAAGCATTCAGAGCACTCCTCTACAGTCTCATGCCTTGCAAAGGAAATTACAGATACAGATGAACGTTCTGCTTTATACCATGGCTGACATTCTGAAAGAAACTCACAGAACTAGCAAAACTCGAGTAATGTTTGAGGACATGTTTATGAGAATATTGTTCATTTAGATGGATGGATGGATGGATGGATGGGTGGGTGGATGGATGGATGGATGGATGGAAGAATGGGACTGTGGCTCCATTGACTAGCTGGGTTCCCCAGCACTGGCTAAACTAAGCACAGTAGTATATGTACATAATCCTAGTATTTAGGATATAACAGATAGGGGGACCAGAAATTCAAGGTCATTCTTGGCACATAGTAAGGTTGAAGCCTGCCTGGACTAAACTGTCTCAAAGGGAAAGAATTAAAATTTATTTATTAATCTATGTATTAGTTAATTATTAATTTATATGTTCCTTTATAAATGATGATGATGATAATGAAACCATGGAGCTTCCTGGTATCTGGAAAATATTTCCAGTTGAATTAATACAGAAATTATATTCTAACAAATTCACAATCCAGTCAAACTTCCAGAAAAGTGAAGACTAAGTCAATCCCCATAGAAGTCAAAACACACCATATGAACCCTGTGAGCCCACAGTGACTCAAAAGAAGCTAAATTTCCATTTACTGTCAAGCACGGAACTCTAAAGCTTGACTCACTTTTTTCAGTCCCAATGTTTGTGCTCTCGAGCTTCTCACTTGGAAGGTCATGAAACTTCACAGGAACATACAGAGGTTCACTCTGGAACACAATGCAAACAGAAACAAACATAAGCAGCAAAACCCGAAGCTCATCTATCAGGCAGAATTTAAGTGCAAGGCACGTAGACACAGGAACCACCACAACTATTCCCCAGCAAACCCATCTAGTCAGCCCCACTCTCCCCAAAGACTGGGAAAGCAAGCTCATCCAGTCCACACAGGCACAAACAAAGCAATCAGTTTAAAGTAGAACTGTTGAGATGGCTCAATAGGCCAGAGTGTAAGCCTGACAGTCTGGGTTCAGCCCCTGAAATCCACAGTGAAGGAAAGAGCCAGCTCCCCAGCGCCCTAGTGAAGGAAAGAGCCAGCTCCCCAGCGCCATCTTCTAACTCCCCATGCATACACAAATGCCTCCCCTCTCCCTCACCTAATAGTAACAGTAACTCAATTCAAATATAAAGTGTAGCAATGTCGCATAGTATCTTTGGCACATTCTGGGAAGTGATACCTCAAAATCATACAAGCAACCCTCTCTCTGCCAATAGAAAATGGTCATTCATTGAATATACACCCATAATGTGCCGTGCTGGAGGAAGTACATACATGAACTCCCTGCTAGCTGGGCCGCTGTGTGAGCACACTAGTGTGGAGCCCGCACAACAGCGTAAACTCTTGTCTCTCCCCACAAATAAAACAGAACGGAAACACTCTTGAGCACTTGCTAAACAGCCCAGTCCTAACTAAGCCCTGTGAATAAGGGTGAGTAAACAGGTTCTTCCCCCAATCATACAGTCCAGTGGGGAAGGCAGCTAAGGGACAGATTCAAATACCGAACAGAACTGCATGCTGGATTTGTTTTACTATACATACGATTCAACAACACAAATGTTGGGGTGGGGGATGGTTAGGGGGATGGCTACAGGTGTGAAGGTCAAAGATCAATCTCAGGTGCTATTTCTCAGGAGCTGTCCACCTGGTTTTTGAAACTGTCTCACTGGGACCCGGTGCTCAGCCTTAGACTGGCTGGCCACGGAGACCCAGCAATCTCCCTGTCTCTGCCCCCTCATTGCTGGGACTGCAAATTCCCGCCACCACACCTGTTAAGCTTTAAAGTGTTGAAGCCTGAGCTCGGGTGCTCATGCTCGTGAGTCAAGGACTGTGCCTACTGAGCTACCACTTGAACCCCAAGCCAACAATTCTTGAAAGCATTTAAATGATTAAAAGATGGGCAGGAATGCTACCACTGATTAGTTCTTACTATTTATTCATAAGTTTCCAATACAAAACTTCTCACTTGTCCTCAAACTGACTTCAGAGAGCAGGTGTCTTAGAGGAACTGTCCTCAACGCAGAGGTACAAAAGCAGATAAGCAGGAGACAAACTTTGGCTCCAAGTCCCAAATGCCACAGCATTTCCATAAGTGTTCTTATTCAAAGCATAATTCTCTCAGTTAAACTGTTTCATTTTTTTTTAAAAAAAGATCGGATTTCTAAACTCTTCTTTGGTTTTTCTTTTAACTCCTGACGTAGAACGACAGCATATTCGGGAAACAAACTAAGTCAATGAGGTCTAACAACTCACATGGTCCTTTTGCCACATATGTTTTTATCGTGGCATTTGGCCCTAGACCAATTTGACTTATCAGTCCTAGAGAAAAACGCAAAAGCTATTAGAAGACTAGTCAGCACCTCGCACACTGAGCAAGGCAAATGACATTACATCATTGTGATGCTTAAGATAGCAGAGGACAAACTTTCTCCAAGTTCAATGACGTCTTCACAGTATCTGACATCTGACACACAATGCAGTTTAAAAAGAAGAAGAGCAACAACAGCACCAGGTCAGTATTTTAAAAATGTGTATGAGAAGGGCCAGTGAGAAGGTTCAGCAAGTAAAGGCACCTGCCATTCAAGCCTGACGACCTGAGTCCAATCCCAGAACTCAGATGATGAAAAGATAAACCATTCCCAAAAGTTATCCTCCGACCTCCACATGCACACGCAGGCACACACAAATAGATACCACATAACTAAAGAAATGTTTAAAAAAAAAAAAAAAAAACAAACAATGCAGAATAAGCGGATGAACAATTTGCTTATTCTCAGTGTCAAGCACCAAAGCTTGTTTCCAAATGGAAATAATAACGAGTATTAAGTTGGAAGTTGATGGAGACACAGTCCTGGCCTGTGCTTTATTATTTTCCTTCCATAACCAGCTCCCCCTTCCCTCTCTCCTCAGAGGCAGCTGACCTGCTTACCTCTGAGCCCCCAGTCTCCCGGGGAAAGCAACTGCAAAGCAAGTCTCTCCAAGGGCACACAATGCTGATCTGTATCTCTCATTTAACTGGTGTCATCACAGATGTCTGGCAATTCTGCTATGGCTGAACAAGAAAAGCAGCACTTACCAAAGAACTACTCATACTCGTATCTGTTGTGCAAGCAGCGAAGTAACCTTCAGCATCTGCAAACTAAATACAGAGAACAGGACATCAAATTCACGGAAACTCATGTCATCATGCAGGACTACTCAGATAGCTCAAATGAACACAAACAAAAATCCAGAACAAATTTATGCATCTAACTATTGTTCTCAAGAACAGTAGCCAATGCCAAGGGTGCAACCATGCAGAGTAGATTTTATCATCTTCTTTCCTGATGAGAATATTGAGGCTGGCTGTTTCGCCACAGTAGAAGATCCTGGATTAAAACCAGAGTGAGTCATCTAAGGTAAAGCTTGAGCCCTTTTCCCTACACTATTATAATATTTCAGACATGCAGAGAAAGTGAGTTAGTGAGCTAGTGAAAGAAGACAGCCACCCTTTGGTATTGTCACTGACATGATGAAGTCTCTGACAGAGCTCAGGGACTGGCCCACACTGTGGGAGACACTTAATACTGTGCAAGTATAATTCCACTTCATAATCTATGCGACTCTACTAAAAGAGTACTATTTAAACCCACACAAACTAACAGAAACAAACAGAAAATCAGACCATGGTTACTAGGGAAGGGGAGACCATGAATGCTTTTCTTTTTTATGTTCTAATAATAGGTCTTTTTTTTTTTTTTTTGAGACAGGGTCTAATAAATCTTTATTTAAAGCAAATGTACTTGGTGCCACTGAACTACACATCAAAAAAAAAATGGATCAAATGATAAATTTAATATTATGTATATTATTATAAAAAAAGGAAAGAAATGGCTAAAATTTGATGTTACATACATTTACTACAGTGGTGCAGAAAGAGAAATAATTTTTTTAAAGAATGCATAGAAACAACAGGTTTATATACTCTTCCTTCTCAAAAAATGTAAGATATCAAAAAAGTAAGGTATTTATTACACAGATGATAAATTGCTACATAAACTACCATATTTATCAAAAAAATGAGACCTTATAAAACGTCAATGAAAGAATGTTCTTTGATTAACCAAATCTCTGACGTAAAGAATTTTCAATCCTGAAATAAAGAATTTTCACTTAATATATGAAACTGAATTATTTCATTTCTACAGTTAACTTTACAGCTTATTTACATGACACTCATCCAATCTGTAAATGACCAAGACACTAGACATTGTTCTTATGCCTTCCTTCCTCCTTCCCACAGAACAATCGTTGACAACTCAAAGATGTCCTAAGAAAGGGGACAGAAAGTGGCATACACTCTTGATTCCTCACAAGATTTTCTGTTGCCAAGTTGGAAGAATATTTTTAAATTTTTAGACATGAGCTTAAGATATGAGTCATTGGTTAAAAGTGCTTGCTACAGAATCACAAGGATGAGAGTTCAGATCCAAGCACCCATTAAAAAGTCAGGCTTCACATAAATGCTTGTAAACTCTAGTTCTGTAGGCTTGGACACCCTCTTTAGTTCTCTGTGCATTTATACCTGCACACATATGTGTGCATATTATCTCTCTTGTTTACATGCATACACACACACACACACACACACACAATTAAAATAAATCTTATAAACAAAATAAAATTTTGGACACAAATAGTTTGGGTTGTTTGTTTGCTTGAGACAGGGTTTCTCTGTATAGCCCTAGCTGTTTGAGACTTGTGCTGTAGACCACACTGACCTCAAGAGTGTTGCCTGCTTCTACTTCAAGTGCTGAGATTAAAGGTCAGTGAAACCACAGCCTGACTTTTGTTTTTATAATTTACCATTACATGCTCAAATGAACAACTCACAATCCTGGCTTTAAGAGCCAGGCAGTGGCGGTGCACACCTTTAATCCTAGCATTCAGGTAGCAGAAGCAGGTAGATCTCTAAGAGTTTGAAGTCAGCCTGCCTAGTCTGCAAAGCTAGTCCAGGACACTTAACAAACAAAATTAAAAACTTACGAAAGCAGCGGGCTTTCCTCGAAATCCTCTTGTACACTGCTGCCTCCAAGGTTTCCAAATAATGAATCCCAAAAGGTAGAGGACGAACATGGACGTCTTTGCAAAGGTGCTGAAGAACGGCTTGTTGTACTGGGTGAAGACATACTGCAGAGGGAAATTAAGTTACACAAGCAGCCTTAACACGTTTAAAACCTTTCTGTACATCTCCCTCTTGTCATCTCTTTAGAATAGAAGTTCGTGGGTAGGAAAGAACAAAGAGGTAAAAAATACTTTAAATTCATTTCTGAATCCTGTATATGTTTTACATACAAGAGGTCACATTGTCAAATGAAGCAGCAACAACCATCAAAAGAGAAAAAAAAAAAAAGTTTGTCAACATATCTACTGAAAACCTACTATGCAAAAGTATCTGTTAGGAACTAAGGAAAATAAAGCAGTCCTCACTGCTTCTGAGGAGACACAGATATGAAGAAATTTGCCAAGCACCATACAGGAGCTTCAGAGTGCCATGGGAGTATCAAAAGGGTATGGGAGTTTTCAAAGAGGATATACCTAAAGAAATAATCTCTCAGTGCAATCATCGCAGATATTCAATTCTTATCTAAAGGTTGGTGAGAACTTTAATTTCTTTAATTATTTATTTTGGTGGGGGTGAGTATGTGTGTATGTGTGTGAGTACAGTGGTTAATCAACAGCTTGTGGGAGTTGGTTCTCTTAATTTATTGCAGGGGTGTCTGGGGTCAAACTCAGGCAGTAGGGCTTGGTGGCAAGCACCTCTACCCACTGAACCATCTCACTAACCATCTCATTGGCCAGGTGATGAATGTTATACTACTTAAACTGGCATCACCCAAAACAGCTGGGCAGACATCATATGCCCTGATGTCTGAGAAAGTACCTAGTACTACCAAGATATTCTTGCCTAAAAACTGAACCTAAATCAAGTCTTTATACCTAACTACATTTTATACAAACTGAAAGAACAAGTTAGTTGACAGGATAAGGAACAATCAACAGGATCAAGGATATGATATGTCTCACAGGACAAATGACCTAGTTTCTCCAATACACAAAGGAGAAGAAAAAGGGGCGTGGCATATACTTCAAAGGTACCACAAAAGCAAAGTGGATCCTTGTTTAGGTCCTAGCTGGCTTGTGTTTATGTGTGTGTGTGTGTGTGTGTGTGAGAGAGAGAGAGAGAGAGAGAGAGAGAGAGAGAGAGAGAGAGACCTAGTTACATCAAGAAAAACGAACTGGTTATTGGATGATTTTAATGAATTATAGCTAATCTTGTTAGATATGTTAATAGCAGTGATTGTAAAATAAAAACAATGTGATTTTCAGTGTAAGGGAAGTAGGAAAATTATATGGCAAGAATTTGCATAAAAGTATTCCAGGAAACATGTTATGAACATGGTTGATTAGATTACAAAGACTGATCACTGTTAAATCGGTGAGTCATAAGGATTCATTATACCACTGTAGTCTCCTTTTTTTCATGTATATGTGTTTCTGGTGTGTCTATGGTGTGCATATGCATGTGGGCACACATGTGTATATAGGTGTGTGTGCAGATGTCTGAAGCTGAAATTAGGTATTTTTCTCCATTCCTGTCTACTTTACTTATTGTGGCAAGGTCTCTCTCTGAACCTGTAGCTTGTCCCAGGGATCCTGGCCACTATCTCATGAGTGCGGGGATCACAGGAGACCACCATACCTGCTTGAGTTATTCTAGGGATTCAAACTCTGGTCCTCCTGCTTATTGGCAAACACTGTCTCAAAGTCTGTTATGTTTACCTGGTTGAATCAAGCCTATTGCAGATGCTCTAAGATGACAAAATTATAACTTTTTTCACTAAAACATAGAAATCAGTTTTTAATCACATAACATGTTTTAGTGAAAAAAAATGAAAGCTATATCTGTGCACACTTATACACTCATATAGTCCCCAGCATTTAAAAGAAAATAGGCTGAGTTACATAGTAAGTTCCAAACCAACCTGAGCTACACAGGGAGAACCTGTCAAAAGAAAATACTAAACACATAACAAACAAAACCCACCCTAAAACGTATTTACCATGTACAATACAATGCTTCCGTACATGCAAAGATTGTGAAATAATTGTCAGAAGCAAGTTGGTGGAACATTTTTAACTTTAGATATGAATTTCTACATTATAATTTAATGTAGCTTCCTTATTCTAAATCCTTTCTTTTTTGGGGGGTGGGGCATGGGTTGGATGGGGTGGAACTCACTATGCAGAGCATGATGGCCTAAGAACTCACAGAGATCTACCTGCTTCTGCCTCTGAGTGCTATGACTTAAAGGCATGTGCCACCATGCCCAGCCTTGTTCTAAAGCTTATTACCTGATAAACAAAACTACTTATTTAATGCTTCAAAATTTAAAGTTAAGTTTAGGACCCTGTCAACATTAGAAGATTTCTCTGAAGCAAAATTATGGGGTGTTAATCTAAGCAAAGATTACAGAAGAGTTGTGGCGTGAAATACAAAGGACCTGTGGTGTTCCACCAGAACCTAATCCCAGGAGGACAAAAATTCACTTACTCACAAGATATAACCTCAACTATTTGCTTAGCTATGATGTGGGATCCAAGATATCAATGGCCTGCCTTGACATTTGCATTCCTTTTACAAACATAAATTTCCTCTTTGATATTTCCTTATGACTGCAATATGTGAGTCCTAGGTGATGAATTCTGAAAATAAAAGTTGTGATGGTGAGATGGCTCAATGGGTAATGGCACCGGCTGCCAAGCCAGACACCACTACTTTAATCTCCTGGACCCACGTAGCAGAAGGAGAGAACTGACTTCCACAAACTGTCCTTTGCTTTTCACGGTGTCCCGGCACATGAATGCACACATACTCTAAATAAATATTCTATGCAAAAAACAAATTGTTGTCTTCTTACAAAGATCACTAACCGAACAGAAAACTATGCAACACAAAGTAAAACTAACTTACAAACACAAAGTACCACAAAACTACCAAGGAGACATCAATTAACACAACACTTGGCTTCAGCCAATCACACACTGGGAGTTTCATAAGAACATGTGAATCAGCAAACACATAAATATGGACTCACAATGCATGCATGAGAATAATTGTACATGAAAAATTGGATGGATAACTCATGTTTACTTTTCCAATAATAGTCTTTTTCAGATGTATTCATGTGTGGCAAGCAATCTACTAAGCTATGCACCCAGACCCAAAGTATTCCTGTTTCTACTACATGGTGAAAGACTGCCCCTCAATGTTTGTTCACTAGAAAATAGTATTTATGAAAAAAATAAATTCAACTTTGATATAAAAAAGGCACCTTTACATAGTAAGAAAATATATTCTGAGTAATGCTCCCTATGTAAGAAAACTGCGGTAGGGCTGTCGAAATGTCTCTATAGTTAAAAGAGTTTACTTTCCCTTTGGAATGTAATTCCCAGCACCAATGTTGGGTGGCTCACAATTGCCTGTAACTTTAGTTCCAGGGACTCAAACGCCCCCTTCTGGCATCTACGGGCATGTACAGACACAAACACGCACATTCACACAGCTGTTATAACTTTAGGAAACAACAAAGAGCATCACCTCAGCTTTCTCTTGAGATGACACTAATATAGTAGCAAAGAAAAACAAAGAATTGAACAATACTTAAAATACTGCTCTTAGAAGCATGAGGCGCAAACGGAGGAATACTACAGGTTGACACTGACTGCTGTCCTGATGCATTATCGTCAGTGAAATACTACTGGTCAGCGTTAATACTATCACAATGCAACACCACTGGTAGAGAGATACATACCGAGGTGAGTTCTGAAGATGCCACCCAGATCACATCAACCAGCAGGAGAATCACTATCCCCAGGGCCATTCTCCTGCGTTGACTGAAGCCACTGTTCTGGGAGTTCACACGGTTCATGATAAATACACAAACCATTTGTAGTCTGTTGGTTTAGAAAGCAGAGATCTCTATTAGAGTCTCCTTTAAAAGAACCACATTAAAAAAAAAATCAGGAAACAGAAGACATTTGCTAGTGACTGCTCAAGATGAAGTGTGGAATTTACCTTGTTGCCAGCGCGTCTCTGAGATCCTCAAAGGCAATGACTGCAAATCTGGCAGATCTCAGTCTAAATAGAGGTGAAGAACTCAGAACACCTAAAACAGCACCACAGAAGCTATGCTTAGGAAAATTTCAAGTGTAAGATCAAACAGTGTTCAACAGAAGCCACACTGGGGATATAGCAGAATGCTAACCTAGCACATGAGAGGTCCTGGGTTCCATCCCAAGCCCTTCCCAAACTGGACAAAGTGGCACATACCTATAATCCCAACACTTGGGAAGTAGGGGGATAGGAGAATCAGAAGTTCTGGGTCAGAATACATAGTGAGTTCAAGGCCAGCATAGGAAACATGAGACCTTATGACAAAATAACAAAACAAACAAAAAACAGGTTGGGGTTGTAGCTCAGGTGGTAGCGCAGTTGCCTAACATGCTAATGCCCTGAGTTCATTCCCAGAACTACATAAAGCAGGTGTGGTGGAGCACGCCTGAAAGGCAGGAAGATAAGACGTTCAAGGTTACTCTTGGCCACCCTCAGCGAGTTTGAAACCAGTGTCAGACACACGAGACTTCCCTCCCGCTCCCCTCACCCCGGAAAAAAAAAAAAGAAAAATGGTTGCACTCAGAGAGGTCCTGGACACCAGGCAGTTAAAGAAAAGCAACATCCAACATATGGCACATTTTAAGAGCGTCATAAACAGATCCTGGAAGTCTCATAAACAGAACTCCCTCGAATCTCCCTTCAGGACATTCGCCCCTCCAGGCAGGCGTGTGAGCATCAGGAAAGTGCCCTTATCCCCCTCCATCTCTAGTGGATTCGGCTCGCTGACAGGAAGTGATGTCCTCACGCGAGGACGACGATCGCACTCGCTCCCCACCCGCCGGGTCACTACACCCCCGGCTGCAGTCCCAGAGGCCGATGGAAAACAGCTGGGACAGGGAAGCCTCCCGGTGAGGACGAAAGACGTGCGGGAAACCAAGCGTGTCGCCTGGTGAGGGCCGAGAGGACTCTGACCCGTCCACCACGGCCGCAGACGCCCACCGCCTACCTGGCCTTCCTGCCCCTCGATGGAGTCGCGGCGGCACCATGAGCGGCCCTGACCTGACCCGGCCCGCCACCCAGCGCCGCCGCCTCACACCGCAAGCGCACACCCCGACATCGCGCCGCGCTGCAGGCCCCTGGGCTCCGGGCGGCGGCTGTCACTCGGCGCTCGGGTCAGCACTCGGCCGGCACGGAGGGGAGTGACCCAGGCCACCGGACTCGGCTGGCAGCGACAGGCCTGGAGGCCCCGATTGCGGCCGAGGCCCCGGCCCCGCCCCGGGCCGGTCAGCCAGCCAGGCCACGCCCACTTCTGGCCAGACAAGCCCTGCCCAGTGCTGGCCAACCAGCAGGCCCCGCCCCCCGGACCTGTAGCCCCGCCCCCAGCCAATTAGCTAGGCTACGCGGAGAAAAGATCAACCGGCCCGGGACTGGCAGGCCCCGCCCCGCTCTGCGGCCCCGCCCCCTGCGCCAAGCCAGCAGGCGCACCGGTGACGTCACGCTGGGCGCGACTTGAGGCCAGCCGAGAGATCTCCTCCAGATCGGTGACGGTTCGCTAACGTGGACTCACTCCAGCCGCGAGCAGAGCTGTCTAAGGGACAGTCCAGCCCTGGCAAAGCGGCCAGACCCGCCCTGAAGCTAAAGTTGGCTGCCGCATTTCCTCCAAAGTTGAGGCAGCATACATACTGCCAGTAACCCTTTCTAAAAACCGACGGGCCGGGTGGCCTGGCACGCTCCGGATTCCGGGATCGTTTTGTCCCGTACGGAATCGAGACCTTCGTTCTTGGAGTTAGAAGTTGTCTAGACCAAGTTACTCCTCTCCCTGGCCCTCGCTTTTCCTCATCCAAAAAGGCGAAAGATCATATCAGTGCCTCGTGTGTGTGTGTTTACACTTACTAAATTAGCTAATAGAAAGGTCCAACTGTCAGTCACACTCAGGAAGACCTCTGCAGATACTAGTCTGACTAAAGGATGGGGTTTTAGTTTTCTTTTTAAGTGCCTTGAAGCTCCCATAAGAAAGAAAAGTTGGCCCGCATCCTGATTTGTATTTAGAAAACAAACACGGGACTTAAGGCTTCCAGAACCAGAACTGCTTCGTTAGCATTTTGAGGCAAAGAAATGAAATTTTCTTGCTTATTTAGACATCCCTTCTCTTTAAACTTTTTGTCTACAAAGTCTAGGGACTAAAAATAAGATGAACACTTTGTTATCCGCTCAGATTCTAATACGTGATTGGTAACAAACACTTCCAGTCACTTATTGCTGGAGCACAAGAGACAATTCAGTGGGTTAAAAAAAAAAAAAAAAAAAAAAAAAAAAAAAAAAAGCCCTTGCTGTGCATGCATGAGGTCCTGAGTTCAGATCTCCGGCAAGCATGTAAAGAGCTGGGCTTGGCCGTGTGCACGGTTGTAACCACAGCACTGTGCGAGGCAGACAGGAGGATCACAGCTTGCTGGTTGCCAGACTATTCTGGTTCAGAGGAGAGAGATGGAGAATGGCAGAGTACCTAATACTCTCCGGCTTTATAGGTATACTCCTGCACACAAGCCATGCCATACCTGCTTGGCCTTTTGGTTAAGACTAAAGATCAAGCATACTGTCTGTTTTTAACCAGTTTAATATCTGATCTGTCCTCTTTCCAAGAATAGTATAGTAAATGGGCCGTGGGAGCAAGAGGTGGTTCCATCAACTCCACACCTGGAATGCGTGCCTTCTTGGAGTTGTTAAAAGAAAGGGAAAAATCACATGTGATTCAGAGTAGAAAACTATAGCCATTACTATTTGGGGTTGGTTATAGGCATACATCGTATTGCTCCAGTAATGGTTTTCCCCTCGTTAACATTCTTTATGCTTAAGAACTTCTTATGCTACGTGTCTGATATAGTGGAGTCGGGGCATGGTAAATCAATCTCTTAAGATCTAAAAGTCATGGTCAGATGTGATGGAAAATGCCTTTAATCCCAACACTTGTGAGGCAGAAGCAGGAATATCTCTGAGTTTGAGACCAGTCTGGTTTACGTAGTGATTTACAGGTCAGCCAGCGCTACGTAATAAGAATCTGTCGAGAATGTGAGAATCAAGAAAAGTAGGTTCTAGGTTTTGTTTGTTAGGGGTCAAACTTAGAGTTTGCATATGCTAGGCCAGGTCATTACTATTTCTAATGTCTGCTTATGGCTGTTCTCATGGGCTCAAGTGACCTTCCTTCCGTAGAGTAACTGGCACAACCATGCACATACCACCATTCCTGGCCAGCTCCGTCTCTTAATTACATGGGAGATAAGTCTTAGAATCAGGTGTCATTGCCTTTCCCTGCCCTCCCACAAATCCCAATGGTATGCTCTCCAATATTAATTCCACAATAGCAAGGACTTTCTGTTCTGTTCTCTGCCATGTACAAAATAGCACCAATCAATGAGTCGATGTTTCTTAAATGAACTTGCTAAACAAGTACCAGTTCATTTCATTTGTTTCTGAGAAATGAGGTGTGCTAAGATTCCCAGTCTTTTGACTCCATGTGTATTGTTTATACAATATTTACTTTAAAACAGGAAGTATATTGCATTTTTTTTTTGCACACACTGTGACAGACTTCATGAACTTGGGAGATTCTTAGACACCTAAAGCGTTAAGTGTAATTGTATGCAATAAAACCCTAAATTCTGTGAAGTTTATGGGCAAGTTGGAGGAACAAGCTTGTGGGTTTTTAAAAATAAATTTGTACCATTGTACTTTGCTCATATTCACCAGTCCTTACCCTTTCTTGTACCCTCTCCCCCACTGGTTTTCTTCCTGACCCCACATAATCTGTCTATTAGGTTCACATCTTGCATCTAAATATTTTATTCTAACTTCCACACTAAGAGATAACATCTTCTACTTTATGAGCCTGACTCACTTCACTTAAGATGAAGATCCCCTGGCTCATCTGCTTCCCTAAAAATGACATGATTACATCATTTATGGCTGAATAAAATGCTGAGCTGCCTGCAAGCTGTGCAGAGAACTCCAGGGTTACAGCTTTTGTGAGTGGTGAGCATGTTGGGATGGGCTTCTTAGTAATGCATGTGAGTGTTCTCTATTTCTGTAAGACCTCACTCATATCCTATAAATAACCCTAATAAAAACTCATTGTCTCACCAAGTCAAACTTTCACAGACTCATTATCTTGACCTATTTTTGATTCCCTACCTGTCACAAGTATACATGTGTGTATGTTGTGTCTCCCCAGGAAAAGGTTTTATACAACACCCACTGAGCAAACTCACCAGCCTTGGGCTTGATTTTTAACGATGGAGACACAATGTTAGTAAAGGTGAAAGGGTTTTTGTTTTTGTTTTGTTTTTTAAGTCAGTTTTTTTAAGATGTATGAGGAAGAGGAAAAGGTGTGTCCAAAGAGAGTCAGAAAACTGGTTTGGCAGAGCAGAGTGGATACACAGTGAAGCAAATGATTATCAGGTTGGTCAGGTGATCCCTGGGGAGGCCAAAGTGTGCTCTAGAAAAACAACAAGAGTTTGTAGAGATTAGATCTGTATGCCATGAGAACCTACAGGCTTTGGGATAAGAGATGTGTATTTTCCAGCAAGCTTTCTACCAGTGAAGCTCGGTGCCCAGCAGGTGAGTGGTCCAACGGGCATTACCACGTGACCAATCGAAACTGAGCAGTATGGTGATAATTACGGGAGCACCGTGGGCCTGGACTCAAGGAAATCATATAAACAAAACTTACTATCAAGTCAGGATGATATTTGCTGAGCTAAAAGATGATAAATAGACATTTCTCAAGGCACATAAATAAATGCCTAACGGATATATGAAAAAATTCTCAAAACCACTAATCATTAGGGAAGTTCGTTAAAGGCAGGTGGGGGCCAGAGCGATGGCTCAGCAGGTAAAAGCACTTGCCACACAAGCCAGACAGCCTGAGTTTAATCACAAGAAGCCCTGTAAAGAGCTAGATAGGATGGCTAGTGTCTGTAATCCCAGCAATCGTACTGCAAGATGGGAGACAAGAATCACCAGGAACCCTACAGGTCAGCTGTCCTGGAGTACTTACCATGGCAGAGACAAGAGGCCCCATCTCTTGTCCCTGATGGGGACTGCTAACTCCCAGAAGTTGTATGCTGGTGTCTACATATACACTGTAGCAGGCATGTTGCCTCAGTAAGATAGCACTTCAGCAAATTGGGGACCCAGGGGAGATGGCTCAGCAGTTTAAGAGCTGTCATGCTCTTCCAGGTGACCCAGGTTTGGTTCCCAGCACCCACATGGCAGCTCACAGCCATCTGTAACTCCAATTCTAGGGGATGGCCTCTACAGGCACTGGATGCATGTGGTATACTTGCATACAGGCAGGAAAAAGCTCATCATCATAGACATAAAATATAAACAAATGTTTAAAAATAAGTCATTAGAGACGAATCTTAAAAAAAAAAAAAAAAAAGACAGAAGGTAACCTGGGGACTGTACAGAGAGGAAGAAGTTCTTATATGACGTTGTTGAGAGCACACCTAGGTTTAAAAAAAAAAAAAAAAAAAAAAAAAAAAAAAAAGCCTCCTGGAAGATAGAATTTAGGTTCCTCAAACATTTTAAATTAGAATTATATGATCCATCAGTCCCATTACTGGATGATAAGTCCAAAGGTAATGAGGCATTTTGTTTGGACTCTTGTGTCCATTCAAGTTGTATTCACAATAGCTAAGCTGTGTAATCAACTTACCTCTCCATCAACAAATACATAAGAAACTGGGTATCCGTATACAGAGGAGGATAGTAGCCTTTAAAAACAACAGAATTCCTTTAACAGAAAATTTTATCCTTTATGACATAAATGAAGCTGAAAATATTAGGTAACTTAGCGCTACATAATTCTACTTCTGTGTGACATCTAAAATAGTTAAATTCATACAAAGGGTGGCCTTGAACTCTCTATGTAGCTGAGGATAGCCTTGAACCACTGATGTTCCTGATTCCATTTCCCAAATGCTGAGATTAAAGGCATATACTGCCACACCTCACTTATGAGGTGCTGGGAATTGAACCCAGGGCTTTGTGTGTACTCTGTAGGCACTCTACCAATTGAGACACATTCCCAGGTATATAGAAAGTTGGAAGCCAAGGATGACCTTGGCTTTCTGTTTCACTGAGATCACAGGCATGCGCCAACACCCTTGGCTCCGGTA